ACTTATATCTTTAAGTTTGTTTCTGGCGCAGTCGGTAGGATACCGCAAGTCCTACCCAACATAAAAGTAGTAGAACGTGAATTTTTATTCTTAGTGCGGTCCTTTTAAAAAAAAAAAAGGATAAAATAACATCCTTAAATGATTAAAGGATAAAAAAACTTTTTTTCGAAATTTTTTTATAAAAATTTTAAAATACTCCTTTATAAGATTAAAGGATATAAGAACTTTTTTTTTTCGAATTTTTTTTTATATAAAAATTTTAAAATACTCCTTTATAAGATTAAAGGATACAAAAACTTTTTTTTCGGAATTTTTTTATATAAAAATTCTAAAATAAAAAAAGGGGAAAATAGACCTTTTTTTTCAACAACCAACCAAACTAGGAACCAGAACCAACCCCATAAAAACTGAATCAACAAACCCATCAAACAACATTGAACCAACAACCAACCAAACGAAGAAACCAAAAGCTTAACAACATTGAACCCAACGAAGAAACCAAACTAAATCAACAACCCCATCAGCAAAAACTGAATCAACAAACCCATCAAACAACATTGAACCAACAACCAACCAAACGAAGAAACCAAAAGCTAAACAACATTGAACCCAACGAAGAAACCAAACTAAATCAACAACCCCATCAACAAAAACTGAATCAACAAACCCATCGAACAACATTGAACCAACAACCAACCAAACGAAGAAACAAAAACCTAAACAACATTGAACCCAACGAAGAAACCAAACTAAATCAACAACCAGAACTGGATCAACAAACCCATCAAACAACATTGAACTAACAACCAACTAAGCGAAGAATCCAGAATCAGCAATAAACCCATCATCCCTAAGGTAATTTTAGTAATATTTAAAGTATAAGTTAGTTTTTATTATCTAAAAAAGTGCATTTTAACAAAGAAAAAAAGAAGCTTTATATTTTCCCTTCTCAAAGTGATCAAAGTCTGTTTAATGAGTGATACTGATTCATTGTCTGATTATCCTTCAGATATAGATTTTATCGAAGACAATATAGATACTTACCCAGACTATAATTTGGACTCAGGGATCGAATCAAACGACGGGTATCTAACGGACATTAACATAGAGCAAGATAGGAATAGAAGAGTTACTAGAAATACACGCCATCTCAGAAAAAGACTAAGATATATTTACAGAGGAATATTAGAAAGATAAAACATAATTGACAAGATGACCGAACAAGCCCAACCACTCTCTATTACTATTAACCCTTTAAAATATTTAAATCAACTCCCAGAATTTAACGGCGATTACCGCGATCTACAGACTTTCGTCAATTTAATAGATAGGGTTCACCCTCTATTAACAGCGTACGACCTACCATCACAACTATTATTTTCTGACATTATTAAGGGTAGACTTACTGGAAAAGCAAGAGAAGTTATAGAAATTAACTGCCAGGCTCAATCATGGACAGACATAAAGAACGTATTAAATAATAATTTCGGTGATAGATGCAGTTTAGAGGAACTTTTTGACAGGCTTAAAAGTACAACTTTCAAAACGAATAGTGTAGAATTTTATAATGAAATTAAACAGAGACTCAGAAATCTCAACAACAAAACCGTTTTGTCAATTGGTTCTGGCCCAGCAGCCAACGAATGTGCCAAGAACAATATGAAAACCGCCCTAAATATATTTAAAGAAAAGGTACCGGAACCCATGCGAACTATTCTAATATGCAGAAATCCTGACAGCCTAGAAACAGCAATGGAAATCCTATTTCAGTCCGGCTATGCATATGTGACTTCACCAAACACGACATTTTCCAATCATAGAACGCCAAACCAAGAATACAAAAATCTACGGACTCAGAAGCATAATAACAGATCTTATAATAACCAAAATTTAGCAAGAACAAATAATCGCGATACACAAAAGAACCTCTCGTACCAACAACCTAATTTCCATAACCACCATCGGAATAGTCCAAATAACCCCCATAATTGGCAAGGAAATCACAAAAATTCTGGCCACAATGGTCAACCGTTCTAAAGACAAAACAATTGGAATCCCTTCCGACAACAGGAAATACCACATACAAATAATTTTCCAAGACCAGAACCTATGGACGTTAATAAGTTCGAAAGACAGACTAAACCAACCGAGGACGAAAATTTTCATTATTCAGCCTCAGGGAACTTCCATATATAAAAGTTAAAACAAAATTAGGACACCTAAAGTTAATCATAGATACGGGCGCAACTAATTCCATTTTGAACCCAAGTATATGTCATCCTAGATGGATACAGAAAATCGAACCAATTACCATTAAAACTTTGCAACACAGGATAACCCTTTAGGAAAAAGCCATAATCCCTACATTAGAAAAATCGGCACAAACCTAGAAAGAATAGAATTTTACATAATAAAATTTCATGAATTTTATGACGGTCTTATCGGTAATGATTTACTAAGGGCAATGAAAGCAAAAATCTGCTTCAAAACCAATACAATTAGATTAGGAGAAAATAAAATTCCCCTTTATATTAAAAGTGATGAAGAAAAACTAGACGACGAAAATAACTATATTAAAGAATTACATAAGAATGGAATAATGAACACAGAAATTAATAGTATGGAGTTTAATTTTGTATCAAATTCTAAACCAATAAATGATCAGATTAGAACAGAACATTTGAAATCTGAAGAAAGATCACAATTATTACACGTAATAAATAAATACCGTGACATCTTTTACCGTGAAAATGAAAAACTTTCATTCACCTCTGCTATAAAGCATAGAATACGAACAACCAATAATGCACCCATATTCTCAAAATCGTATAGATACCCATACGTTCATAAAAAAGAAGTAGAAGACCAAATTAGAGACATGTTGGAAAATAAAATAATTAGAAATAGTAGTTCACCATATTCAGCCCCGATTTGGATAGTGCCAAAGAAGGCAGACGCTAGCGGAAAACAAAAATGGAGACTAGTTGTTGACTATCGTAAACTAAATGAAGTTACGATCGACGACAAATTTCCTATTCCAAATATAGACGAGATACTGGAAAAATTGGGAAGAAGCCAATATTTTACCACTCTCGATCTAGCGAAGGGTTTCCACCAAATCGAAATAGAAGAAGAGGACATTCACAAAACTGCATTCAGTGTCGAAGGAGGACACTATGAGTTTTTGCGTATGCCATTCGGACTGAAGACAGCTCCGGCAACATTTCAGAGACTTATGAATAATATACTACATGATTTCATTAACAAGATTTGCTTAGTGTACTTAGACGATATAATTATATTTTCGACGTCCTTACAAGAGCACATAAATTCACTTACACTTATATTTGAAAGACTACGAAAAGCAAACCTAAAGATTCAATTAGACAAGTCAGAATTTTTAAAAAAAGAAACTGAATTTCTTGGACACATAGTTACTACGGCAGGAGTTAAGCCTAATCCTAAAAAGATAGAATGCGTCGTTAATTTCCCAATACCCAAAACTACAAAACAAATTAAACAATTCCTAGGATTAACCGGCTATTACAGGAAATTTATTAAGGACTATTCATTGATAGCTAAACCCATGACTAAATACTTAAAGAAGGATTGCAAGATGAACATAGATGACCCAGAATACCAAAAGAGCTTTAATACTCTTAAGACATTATTAACACACGATCCAATATTAAAATATCCAGATTTTACGAAGACATTTACACTAACAACTGATGCCAGCAACTATGCCTTGGGAGCAGTACTTTCCCAAAATAATCACCCAATATGTTATGCCAGTCGTACCCTCAACTCACATGAAATAAACTACAGCACAATAGAAAAAGAGTTATTGGCAATAATATGGGCCACAAAATACTTTAGACCTTATCTTTTTGGTCGTAAGTTCACAATAGAAACTGATCACAAGCCTTTAACATGGCTTTTCTCTATTAAAGAACCTAACTCAAAACTTGTAAGGTGGAGGCTAAAACTATCAGAGTTTGATTACGAAATAAAGTACAAGAAGGGAACTAAGAACACTAATGCTGATGCCTTGTCCAGGATCGAAACCGAACCTGTTACTGTAAATATATTGGAATCCAACAGTAGAATAATAAAGACAAAATCACCAATAAATATGTTCAAAAACCAGGTCATCATAATAAAAACTACCTCCGGATCGCTAAAGATAAAAAATAAATGTATATTTGGTAATAAAAGAAAAATTGTTTACATGAAAGAAATGGATAGGGAAACTGCTATCACTCTACTTAAAAATCACTTTAACCCCACACAGCTAAACGCTATTTTAATGGAAGAAGAATTTTATACAACTTTTAGTAATACTTATGAAGAATTGTTTGCTGACAACGAAAAATTTAGGATAATAAGATGTACACTCCAAACCGAAGATGTAGAGGATGAAAACCGGTTAGCCGAAATTATAAAAAGCGAACACCTTGATAAAAACCATCGCGGAATAGACGCAGTATATAGAGAGTTAGTCACACGCATATACAATCCAAAGCTCAAACTTAGGATAACGCAATACGACAGAAAACCTCCAAAGATACCTTATAAAATCACAGAAACTCCAAATAAACCACTCGAAGTACTACGCATAGACATCTTTTATACTCTGAATAAAAACCTGTTTATGACAGCAATTGATAAATTTTCAAAATTTGCCTTGGCATTTCAAATAAATGGAAGAAGTTGGACAGAGTTCAAAACAAAACTATTACAGATAATTAATACGTATGGAAAAATAAATAAAATCATTGTAGACAACGAACTGGGATTCAAATAGTAACCATACGTCTAACGCGGACATTGAAAGACTACATAATACTATTAATGAACACATAAGACTACTAGGACATGATAAGGAAAACCAGGGCGAAACTATTGAAGACAAAGTGATGAGAATAATAGGCTTTTATAATAATACGGTACATAGCACTACAGGTATTAAACCAATTGACTTTGTAAACGGCAAAGTATACCAACACAGAGACAACCCAACTGTAGTATCCACAAAATAATATCTTTTCAGATGACGACTTTGACTTTGGTATATACTCTCATTATGGCTACTAATGCACAATACATAGATATCCAGGATCTAACGAACAATAATGGATGTATCCCAATAAAAGTGGACGAAATCAGGCCTATAGAAAATTACTCCAAGATAATACACAATGTACAAAGAAACCCTCGATATAATTTCAGACAATGTAGCAACATTAAAACAAACCACTAGGGACACAACGACACTATTAGACACAGTTGAAAAGAATTTTGCAATACTCAAAGCAAAAATAGATAACTTATACCCACAATTCAGACAAAAACGAGGATTAATTGATATATTAGGCAAAGGACTAAAAATCGTAGCAGGGACAATGGACAGTGAAGACGCAGAACACATTAATAATTCTTTAAAATTACTCTATGAAAACAACGGACTGTTGACAAATACAGTACATAACCTTACCCAGGTCAACACTANCACAGTTGAAAAGAATTTTGCAATACTCAAAGCAAAAATAGATAACTTATACCCACAATTCAGACAAAAACGAGGATTAATTGATATATTAGGCAAAGGACTAAAAATCGTAGCAGGGACAATGGACAGTGAGGACGCAGAACACATTAATAATTCTTTAAAATTACTCTATGAAAACAACGGACTGTTGACAAATACAGTACATAACCTTACCCAGGTCAACACTATCTTAACAATACAGATAAATAACATAACTAAACATATTAACACACAACAAAAACAAGTAGAAAGATATTTAAATCAGTTCAAAAACACTTTCCAGAATAAAATAGCGACATTAGAAGACGAAATTACATTCATGCAACATATTTATCAGATTAATAATAATATAATGCTCTTACGTAACCACATTGACGACATAGGACAGGTTACCTTCTCCAGTAAATTAGGAATCATTCCAACAGATATTTTAACCCCAAAAGAAATGGATCTAATAACAGAGTTTAACAGTTACATAAACATAAAAACCTCTGTAGCATTGCATGATGAAACTATAATATTAATATTCAGGATACCCTCGTATTCCAAAAACACTCTTAGCAAAATCACCTTCGAAACAATCCCAGATATTAAGAACATGACATTAGCATTAAACTCACACACAATACTCACCGATCACAACGGGAAAATGTATGAACCATTTCTTCAAGACAATTTAAAGAAGAACCTAATTGAAATTAAAAGTGATTGTATGCAAAATATTTTAGAATATAAAGATGCAAATTGCCCTATGAAAAACTCAGAAACAGAAGATATAGTAGAAATATTTTCTGGATTACTCATATTAAAAAATTATTATCAAAATTTTAAACACAACTGCAATAAAGCGGAAATTAATATTAAAGGAACTTTTCTTATAAAATTTGAAAATTGTTAAATTATTACATAAAACAGAAATTTTACAAATGTTAATTTAAAAATTAAAGACAAAATAATACTACCAAATATTGTAACAAAAATCAAAAGCAATAAAAATATTAGTCTAAACGATCTAAAACTAGAAACTTTATACCTTAAACAAATAAAATATGAAGAAAACTTAAATAACATATTATACCACGATAAAGAAACAAAAACTATTAGCATTAGTATCAATATTGTAATTATTTTATGCGTAATAATTTTTGGAATTGTGTATAGTATAAGATCAAAACAGATTTTTCATGTTTCGTCGGAGCCTCAAACAAACGGTGGGGGTGTTATAATGTCTCCCATTATTCCCTCAATACGAGTTAATGTAATATAAATATATATATATACTTAAATGAATACACACATTTACCTACTTTATTTTAAACCAATTCCAAGAATTGTTTTTGCATTTATTTAGTTCAGTTACACAGCATTAAAACATTCCCTTACCTTTCTTTATTAATTTCTCGGAATTGTTTTTCAATAATTAATATTATTAATAATCGATATTTTAATTATAAGAGAAAAATTGTAAAACTAAGTATAAAAAGAGGTGTCAGAAGAAAAATAAAGTGAGTTGGATTTTGACTTCTAAAAAGTGAAAGTGGTTGTGTTTTTTTTTTAAACTTATATCTTTAAGTTTGTTTCTATTTCTCTGGAGATCCTAGAGAATTCGCATCTTGGAAGAAAAGCGTGGAAAGAATTCTAAGGATACATGACAGCGAAAAAGGCACTCCACGTTATTTTGGCATTTTAAATGTCATAAGAAACAAAATAACGGGCAATGCCGACGTCGCTCTAGAATCATACAACACTCCGTTAAACTGGACGGCAATTTCTAAATGCTTAAACACACATTATGGTGATAAGAGCGATATCAGTACCTTAGAGTACCAGATGTCATGCCTATTCCAAAGCAATAAATCTATTAATGAATTCTACCAGGATGTATTTTCACATCTTTCACTAATTTTAAACAAAATTTCATGTATGGATGTAAAACCGGAATCTATACAAATCCTTACTAAAACCTACCGCGAGAAAGCGTTAGACACGTTCATAAGAGGACTGAACGGAGAACTTCCAAAATTACCAGGAATAAAAGAACCTACTGAACTTACCCCAAGCACTTCAATTGTGTATGAAATTACAGAACCAGAATTTCAGGACACAACACGCTTTTAGTTACCAACCCTCACAGCGAAAACTAAACACCCCACAGCACTACTAAGAAGATAACTTAACCCTTCCGTAACGAATTGCTTTAAAACCGAATACAGCATATTAGGAAAAATCCAAAATATCTACTCACAAAGTTTTAGCAGATATAGAGTAAAATACACGCGAAAAATAGTAAAAGATCTAATAAATGAATCAGAACAAGAAACAGAAATTATAAAGGTACATAATAGAGCACATAGGAACGCGATAGAGAAAAAAATTCAATTACTCGAAAAGTACTATTTCCCTCAGATGAGCGCGAAAATTAGGAATATCACAAAACAATGTAAAATTTGTCAAGAAAATAAATATCAGAGACACCCGACAAAACCAATATTGAAAGCTTCACCAATCCCAGAATATCCAGGTCAAATCGTTCACATTGATCTGTATCACACTAATAACAAAATCATACCTACCGCAATAGAAAAATTCTCTAAATATGCCCAGGCAAAGATAGTGAAATCCAGAGCTTTAGTAGATATAAAATTACCACTGCAAGAACCTCTCACAATGTTTGGCATACCATAAGATAACGAAAAATCTCTTAGTGCAGCCCCCATAACATTCATGCTAGAAAGCCAATATGGAATTCAGATATACAAAACACCGCCCTACACTAGTACCGTAAATGGACAAATAGAACGGTTTCACAGTATATTAACAGAAATAATGCGCTGTGTAAAAAGCGAAATAACCCACAACTCATTTGAAAATTTTCAGAGCCATTCACAAATATAACAATTCGATTCATTCAACTATCAATAAAAACCCCGTAGAAGCCTTTTTTGGACGAAGAGTTACTACTAACCCAGCGCAAATAGAAAAAGACAGACTAGACAACATTAAGAAAATCTGTGAAAAGCAGGAAAAAGACTTAGAGTATCATAATAAAAACAGAACAGAATATAAGACATAAAATACTGACGATACCATTTATGTGAGTATCAATAAAAGACTAGGTAACAAACTCACACCTAAGTATAAGAAGGAATTAGTACAGGTAGATAAAGCATGTGCAATAATAACAAAATCAGGTCGAATTGTACACAAAAGCCACATTAATAACTAAAGAATGACTACATTACCATTGCAATGCGGAAACCCAAATTTTTGATTATACGAACAGCAACATAGTGACAATAGAGACAGGATACGCAAAGGTGCAGACTGACCAATATGACAGCGTACTTGACGAGATACACAATACAATAGAGCATAACGTAACCAAGAAAAGCCAAAATTACCGATTCCTTTCCCAAGAAGAAAAATCCATCCGAACACTCTTATCCCAACTTAGACCCAGGAAAATAAATTCCCTCGGCACAGCCTGGAAATGGTTAGCCGGATCCCCAGATCACGATGATTTTAAAATACTAAATGACGAAATAGAAAACTTGCTAAATAATAATAATCAACAAATAATAATTAATAAATCTGTATTAGAAAGAATAAATAACTTAACACATATTACAAATATAATCTTAAGCGAAGTAAAAGCAAATGATGCTATAAAGTTAGAATTATAAAGATATATCGAAAGAAAATTAAATTATATTAAGGGAGATTTAAAGAATGTAGACTACATAATCAATTCAATGGGCAAAAGCCAAAAGTGTTAATTCATTTATACTGTCGAATGAAGAAATTAATGTTATTAAGGAGAAATTTGAAAGGCAAAAATGCCTTATATAAATGTAATAGAAGCTATAGAATTTAGTGATGTAAAAATCGCATCAAATTTATCATCTATTATTTACATTGTAAAAGTACCTATTGCAAGCGAAGAAAATTGTAAATCATTAATAATAAAACCTGTAAAACAAGATAATAAAGTTATTAAACTAGAAAATAAAAATTTAATTGTTTGTCAGAAGAATATATATAATATAAAAAAAGTTGTAAGAACCTAAATGATGTATCTATATGTAAACAAGAAAACTTAGAAGAAGTCACAAAAAGCAGCTGAATACCGAATTTACTTAAGGGATATTCAGCAAACTGCACAACCATCAATGGGCATCATATACCAACAATAGAAGAGATAAATCATGGCCTTATACTTATTAACAGTTACAATGGCACGATAGAAGTAGATCAAGACATCATCAATCTGCATGGCACATTCCTAATCAAATGCGATAACGCAACCGCAATAGTTAATGGTAAAAGCCAGTTTTTTTGCGGAACCACTACCAGCAGTCGTTAATTCCGCAAATACCACAGCAAATTTGGAAGAAGTTCTCTCGCTGCAAATATTTGAAAGAGCTTAAAGTTGCAAACATCAGAGAAATCAATGCCATCAACACGAAGCATAAAATCAGCGTTTTTACTGAATCGGTTATAATTATACTTCTTGTGGCAATGTTCCTAACAATGGCACTAAAAAGAATAATTGCAAACCGAAAAGGAAAAATCCAATCCAAGTTGAGACGAAAAACGTACAAAACAACTCTCCATCTCCAATACCGATGGAAACCACATCTCCAGCAATTGTCCATATTTCAGAGACATCCATCGAGGACGCTGCATGTTTTAAAGGGGGAGGAGTTAACACGGTATACGCCGAAATACCTTTCCCACGATCTGCCTTAGCTTAGGCAACAAAATAACTTTCACAGTCAAACGACACCACACGCGGAATTGCCAAAATTCTGACTCCACACCGTCGCCGCATGAGAACTTCTGGCCAGCCAGCCCACAACAACAACACTATGCAATTGCACCTGCTTTGCAACGTGACTTACTAGCATAAATTAGCTGTAAGACCAAATATGTAAGTTAGTTATAATTTTAATTTTAATCAATAAAGTGAGCAACTCGCTCGTAATAACAACAAAAACTTGTTTTTTCAAGAATCTATTAATAAATAGATTAACTTAAGCAAGTTAGAACGGATTGTTGAAAGATTTCACTTCACCTTATCAGAAATTATGCGCAGTCTCAAAACAGAACGATCCCGTCGATCGTTCCAAGAACTTTTAGATAGATCCACATATGAATACAACTACACCATACACTCCGCAACAGGAAAACGACCGATAGAGACATTTTTCGGCAGACGAGTCTCAATAGACCCCGAACAATACGAAAACGCACGCAGAGAAAACATAGACATACTTAGGAAAAGACAAGTGAAAGACTCAGAAACTCATAACAAAACAAGATAACCCATAAAAACATGTTCCCATGGTGACATAATTTACGTCAGGATAAATAAACGATTAGGATCTAAACTTACTGCTTACTTACTTACTTACTTCTTCGTACATTTAGTATACGCAGACCTCAAAATAATCGACTACACGAACTCACAACTGGTTACATTCGACACAGAACTGACAAAAATGCAAACCAAATTACCCCACAAAATCCCCTTTTGCCCTTATCAACGAATAGAATTTTACGCAAACACACCTAAAACGGCTCAAACTTAAAAGATTTAAGAAGTCAATAGATGATATTGGAAAAGTATGGAAATGGTTCGCAGGAAGTCCTGATCATGCGATCTAATCATCCTGCATAGCCAGATAAATAATATAATAGAAAATAACGATAACCAAGTGACAATTAATTCAATTTTTGATAGGATAAATAATATAACAGCAGTTTCAAATAAAATTTTGAAAGCACCAATCAACATATTGCTGACTTAGGCAGCAATAGGGTATAAGTAAGAGTACAATAAGTATA